ATGAGAGTGGGGAGACATCTGACCTGGAGCTGTAAGACATCAGAAACCTGTTAGTTTACTGCTTGTGTTTCCTGCAACTGAAGACAACTGCACTACGATGCATGTGCTGTGTGCTCTGCTTTGCATGTGTCCTCAACAGCATAGTGGTCACCACTGAGTCAGGAATGCTGTCTTCCTTTGTTCTGTTAGAAGAGAAGAAAGAAGATGACCGAATGTCAGGAAAGTGCTGGGATTCCAGGGCTGATCTCATCCTTCTGTGCGTGTGAATGCATTGAGTTCCCACCGAAAGTGGCATCCTGAGAGGACAATTCCTTTCACTGACTTTGATTGTCCAGTCAAGCTTCACAGAGACCCCACAGATGAATCTTTGAATCTAACTTTGTAGAAACCCATTGCAGTGCAGGCAGCTGGCTCCTGATTTGAGGCTCTCTGGAACACAGAATGTCCATATCACCACTACCCGAGGTCGCCTCGTAAGGCCTTTGTTAACTCCTTGAGTCCATCTAGCATCTCCTCCTCTACTGTTTACCTGAGAAGATGCCAGAGCTGCAGAATCTCCCTTCCACATTCTGACTGGAACCCTGCATTCACTGAGAAAGCCCATCAGAAGCATTGGCAATGCATGATTGCCATCCTACCATTTTTAAATTATCTTAAAAGGTTACGGTTCCTTCTTCCCAAACACTGGTTTTTGTTCATTGTTAAGGCCATACAGGTGTTCAAGGAACAATCCATTTTTATTGATGTGATGGAGGAGGAGACTCAGTCAAGGTCAAATTATTGTGACCCAAAAGCGAAACAACTAAATTATCTCAGATATTGTTGAGAGAAAAGGAACAGTCTACAGGAAGTGATCAAGTACTTAGCTGATGGATATGGCCAAGGAAAAACAAGAAATTATCATAACTAAAAAGAAAAAAATTCCTCCACAGTTTTTACTGTCAAATCCCTCTGTTCATTCTCTACGAGTGAGAGAGATGTGAAGGCAGGATTACAGGGGATACCTTGTCAACCTTGACACTAAGTTCCTCTTGGTCCACATTTTCTTCAGTCTTTGCTATTGTTAGACATCTTGGATTTTTGACAGTGCCATCTAACAGGTTACTATGACAAAGGACTGTCCTCAGCATATAAAAAAGACACTGCATCTGTAGATACTCTCAAGGCCTACCAGGAAATGTGCATTAAATTCATTCAAAATATATGTAAATACATGAAGAAAATAGCAGAGCAAGTCACCAATATCTGAAATCAAAAGAACAGACTTACAACTAAAGCTAAACACAACCAAAGCTTACACCTACCTTGTAGAACAGGTAAAAGGTAGCATTATCTAATTTATTTTAAAAATTTTGACTGCAAAAGTAATATCTTCATGATTTGGGATTAGATAAGAATTTCTTTTCTTTCTTTTTTTTTCTTTTTGGAGAGGTTTTTCACTATAGGGCGCGTGCGCTCGCCAGACAGACAGAGAGAGACATAGAGACAGAAAGCGAGAAATCACCCCCCAGGGGGGATGGTCACACCGCAATCCCTTCTCCTTCATTCTCCTCTCGGGATCTTGGGCACGCACGCACACGCGCCCGGCGTGTTTTAAGCCACCGGGTCCGGGACGCAAACCGCGGTCGACTACGTGGGAGTCCAGCGACATAGCCATTACGCTAACTGCTAGTCCCAGATAAGAATTTCTTAAACAAGATAAAAAACACAGTAATTATGGGAACCAGCAGTTAGCGTAATGGCTATGTCGCTGGACTCCCACGTAGTCGACCGCGGTTTGCGTCCCGGACCCGGTGGCTTAAAACACGCCGGGCGCGTGTGCGTGCGTGCCCAAGATCCCGAGAGGAGAATGAAGGAGAAGGGATTGCGGTGTGACCATCCCCCCTGGGGGGTGATTTCTCGCTTTCTGTCTCTATGTCTCTCTCTGTCTGTCTGGCGAGCGCATGCGCCGTATAGTGAAAACCTCTAAAAAACAAACAAACAAACAAACAAAAACACAGTAATTATGAATAAAAAGACAGGGGACCAACAGATGGCATCATGGTTAAGCCATTGGACACTCCCACATGGTCTATCACAGTTCAAGTCCTGGACCTGGTGGCTCGCTTTCTCACTTTCTCTTTCTACCTCTCTTTCTCTCTCTCTCTCTCTCTCTCCTCTTCTCTCTCTCTCTCTCCTGCATGTGTTTCTCTCTGGTCAAATTTAAATAAATGAATGAATAAATAAAATTAAATTAAAAATAATTCTTTTTAGAAAGAAAGAAAGAAAGACAAGACAGAACCAAATTTGAAAATGATGATATGACCTAAGAAGACAGACAACTGGCCAGCAGGTATATGAGAGGTTCTCAGCATCACTAATCCTCAGAAAAATCCAAAACAGAACCACAGTGATATCTCATCTAACACCTGTCAGGATAGCTATTTCAAAATAACAAGAGATGGAACCAGCAGGAGGCATGGTGGTTAAGGCACTGGATTCCCAAATGGTTAACCATGGTTCAAGTCCTGGACCTGACAGCTTGAATATTACACCAGGTGCATGTGCATGCATGCCCAGAATCCCCAGAAGAAAGTGGGAGAAGAGATTGCAGCATGGACATCTCCCCCTTGGGGGGGGGGGCGTGACTTCTCACTTTCCCTCTCTCTGGTGAGTGCATGCACCCTATAGCAAAATCCTAAAAATAATAAGAAGAAGAATAAGAAAACAAGTGTTGGCAGGGATGTGGAAAAACTGAAACCTTCTGTACCTAGTACGTCTTGGTGAGCACATGCTAAAAGTGGGTAAACTGGCACAGCTGCTTTGCAAACTACTTGGAATTATCTACAATAGCTGAACATAGTCATACCATATGACCCAGTATTTCTACTTTGTGGTGATAGAGCCAGCAGAAATGCACGTGTACACACTGAGATATACAGAAATGTTACTAGGACTTGTGGTTTCCAGTTGCACATGAAAGGAACTTGGAAGTTGCCATTCCATCTTAACAACATGTAAGAAAAATGGAGCAAACTGAAATACCAACAACTCATTTTTGGAGTCATAGGAGAGGAACAAACAGGGCAGGTCACTGGCCTCAAAGATGAGACTGGCAAATGCAGAGTCCCCGGAGCTTACCAGAGAGAGCACAGCTCATGAGCAGAAACCCGCCAGAACCAGTCCAAGGGCAGGGACCCCAGAGCTGTAAATGATGAATTGCTGGAGGCCCCGTATGTGGACAGCTAAAAGTTAAAAACTTTAGGAGGGACCAAGTCGTGGGAGAAGCCCCCAATTTTGTGAGATTTACCTCTAGGAGATCAATCCTGATCTCGGGGTAAATATGAGAATAGAATTCCCTGTGCTCCCAGCATTCCAGCAGGGGTGAGTGAGAAAGGATGTATTTTGAAATCTGCCAAAGCACAACACTCTTCTTTTTTTGGTTGGTTTGTTAAGGTTTTTGCCATAGGGCACGTGCATTTGCCAGAGAAAGAGAGAGACAAAGAAACACTGAGAGAGGAAAAGTGAGAATTTACCCCCAGGAGAGATGCCACAATCCTTTCTCCATTTTCATTTTGGGATTTTTGGGGGCACACACACACACACACACACACACACCTGGCATGATTTTCAAGCCTCCAGGCCTGGGACTTGAACTGTGGTCCAAACCACTTGCTGGCCCTGCACAGTACTCTTCTTTATAAGGCCTGCCCTCTAGAAAATCTAGCTACCCAGGTCCTAACCTGCTGGGATATTATCAGAGCCTAACCGACATAGGGGGAGGGAAATTCCCGACTCCATTCACCTCTTTTCTTCCATACTGAAGAAGGGACAAACACAACTCCAGCCCACTCTTGCCATTCTATCTTGCCTCAGAGGAAGAAATACTGAGAAACACTTAAGAGTTCGCAGTCCCGAGGCCTAGGCTCCCTGAAAGACTGAGGCCTGTTCACAGGACTGTGGAGTGCTTCTCTTCCCTCACACCTCACCACCACGTTGCTAACGGTATCTTATGTGCACACGATGGGCCATAAAAAAAAGTTATATAGTATGCCAAAGGGCCGAAACAATTCAAGGAGACAAGGCAAGTGTCAGACCCAGATGTGCAGGATGTTTGAACTGTCACAGTGAGGGCTTGAAATAACTGTGGTTAATATACTAAGTGCTGTAAGACAAAATATGCAGCGTGCAGGAACTGATGGTCACTGCACACAGAGAGGAGAATCCTAGGAGCAAAGCAAAGGTTGCGAAAACACACCAGCGGGTGGCATGGTGGTTAAGGCACAGGAACCCACATGGCTGACTGCAGAGTCCAACCCCATGGCTTGAAAAACATACCGGGTGTGTGTGGGTGTGCCCAAAATCACAAAAAGAGAATACAGGAGAAAGGATTGCAATGTGGCCTTCTCCCCACTCCAAGGGTGATTTCTCAGATTCTCTCTCTCTCCCCCTCTCCCTCTCCCCCTCTTCTTCTCTTCACATGCTTCTCCCTCTCCCTCTCCTCCTATCTGTCTCCCTTTCCCTTGCTCTGGTGAGCACATGTGCCCTATAATTAAACAAAAAACTAAATTAAAAAGAAGAAGAAGGCCTATATGTGTAATGGTGGTTCTTAGTCTGAACAAATCTCTGTTCATATTCAAAAACCCAGTCATTTGTCAGTGCTATAAAGAATAAACAACAGTCAAGGGGCCAGCAGGTGGCATAGTGGCCAAGACACTGGATTCCCACATGGTTGACCGCAGTACAAGTCCTGGTCCCAATGGCTTGAAAATCACACCAGGTGCATGTATATAAATGCCCCAAATCCCAAGAGGACAATGGAGGAAGAGGGATTGTGGCATGGCTGTCCCCTGGGAGTGTGATTTCTCACTTTCCCTCTCACTGTCTCTCTCTGGCAAATACATGCACCCTATCGCAAAAAAACTAAAAAAAAGAAAAAAGAAAAAGAAAAAGAAGAAACAGATAAGTAATGGGCTATCCCTTAAGAAAACTTCTCATCAACATATGTCTCTTTATTGTAGGTAATTCGCTCGTTTCTGCTCTTTCCAACAATTGAGCGAATGTCTGAGTCACCCAATGGCAGGATCGCCACTCCGCTTTTGTGCTGGCTTCGCTATGTCCTTTATGTTGCCGGCTACTTACTTTTGAAGCCATGTCCTGAGAAAGTCAAGTCCTGGGTACTTGGAGTTGCCATGCAAGTAATGAAATGGAAGACTGAATTTCTGTTGGCAAATGTATTAGAACCATTCTGCCTTGGTAAGCACATTTAAAAATGTATATGTCTATTCTTGTATCAAAGAAATGTTTACAGGGTAATCTCAGACAGCAAGCAGATACCAAGCAAGCAATTGTTTGTTGAATTTTTTTCTTCACAAAAGTTTTGAACTAGAGATTAAATTATATACAGAGTGAAAGGATTCTGTATACAGCTGGCTAGAAAAGCCTTAGAAGCTTTCATTTTTCCGTATGTTTCTGAATCTCCCTCCACTCTAGGTACTAAGAAAGAATTCTCCTCTCTGTAGTACACAGTGTATATGGAACCCTTACAGGACCTTACTCCTTGTTATAATTTAGAGCAAGTACTAAGAACAGCGAAGAAACAGCCCAAGAAACCAGTATTCTGGCCCAGGATTCTCAGAGAGTTAACTGTTTCTCCTTTTATTTTCCTCCTTGACATGCTATTTTTCTGGGATAGAGAGGAAGTTAAGTTATAAAAGTAGTAAGTATCATGGTAATATATTTTACTACTGGGTGCTCCGCTGATTATAGTAATAGTTTTTGAATGTGCCAGGGAATGTCCTTGCTACTTCACTTTTAGGCTCCAAGAGTTGTTTTTGTTTTTTCTTTTTGCTTTCTTTTTTTTTTTTAGAGGTTTTTGCTGTAGGGCACGTGTGCTCACCAGAAAGACAGAGAGAGAGAGACAGAGAAATAGAAAGCGAGAAATCAACCCCCCGGGGGGGGATGGCCACGCCGCAATCCCCTCTCCTCCATTCTCTCGGGATCTTGGGCATGCACGCACACACGCCTGGCATGAGTTTAAGCCACCGGGTCCAGGACTTGAACCACTGTCGGCTACATGAGAGTTCAGAGACATAGCCATTATGCTAACTGCTGGTCCCCCTAGAGTTGTTTTAAAATGTATTTATTATATAGTATGAATTTATAATACTAACTTATACTGTGTCTATAAATGGCTTTTATAATAAAATAATCCTAGTTCCTTAACCTATAAAATAGGAATAATACCCTGTGTTTCCACAGCTTATTCTAGGTTAAAGACAAGAAGACCTAAGTAAATAGAGAAAGAGGCCGGCCTGTAGCATGCTGGTCGTGGCCTCTGAATCCTGCTAGATAATCCTCTTGCAGACCTGCTTGCGTCTCTGTGGCTGGACCGTCCTCCAGACAATGATCTTTAACTTGCCAGTTTGGCTTTTTGGAGGCCTTGCAGTGTTTGCACATTATGTAATGTCTGTGCCTTAGAAGAAATCTTACGGAAACAAATGGAGGAAGTTTGCTAGTCCAAGCAGCGGATAATAAATCCTGCCCTGTCTACATAGAAACTGGTTTTCTGTACCGTTTAGTTTATGCACACATTTTTGTTGTTGTTGTTGTTATAATCTGAAAAATTCAAAGAACCAAGTTATTCCAAGTATTTCAATTGCTGCTGCCCTTCTGACAGAGAAGACACATCCCTCCCTGTAAGGCCGGAGTTCTGTCACCTTAGTGTTCTCCAGTATGAGCGAGTGAGACGTCATTTCCTACTCAGCAACTCCGGGGAGGATAGCCCTAATCCAACTAGCATACATTATAAACTTTACCACTATGTCTACCAGTGCCATCTGTGGAACTAGATTGTCTTAAATGTTGTTTCTAAAGATATGCCATTTTCTTCTTTAATTTTAATTCTGGAATATTTGCTACCACATTATTTCCTTTAGAGTAGATGTTCTGTTTCACAAAAGATAGACTTCTCTGAGATAGCTAAATTGGATTTTCTGATCAAAGGTAAAAAGAAAATGTATTTTAGCTCAGCAGTATCACAGGTCAAAATCATTAGCTTTTAAAAAATATTCTAGGGTCTCTTTGTTAAACCAAATTGATGTTTTAATTCCTTTTGGTTGCCTAACTAGAAAAACATAACACAGAAATACAGGGAATTCCTGGGAAGTGACATTACTTTGCGAAATACATTTTTATAAAATAAACTTTCATGATCTTTCCTTCCCTTAATAAATGTAGAAACAAGTTTTAAAAACATTTACAATGATGGGGCCAGGCAAGTGGCATGGTGGTTAAGGGCACTGGACTCCCAGATGGCCGACCACTGAGGTTCAAGTCCCGGACCTGGCAGCTTGCTTTCTCACTATCACTCTCCCTCTATCTCTGGTAAAATGGAATACTAATATTACTACTACTACATAAAATTGAATAAATAATTTAAAAAAAAACATTTACAGTGATATACAATGAACTGAACTGTTTAATGAGCTGACAACATAAGCTTCACTAGAGAATCACACATTTCTTCTTAGAATATTTTTAACTTAATCCTAGAATAATTTTTTTTGAATAAGGCAAAAATAGAAGTCCATGTTACTTACCTATTCTTTCATCTATGTGATCAGCTTCTGAAATCTGTGTGGAAAACCCAATTGCAGCTTTTAATGATTCATGGTAGTTTAGCCTAAAATTCAGCAATGAAGGCAACAATCTTTTTTTTTTTTTAATATTACAGGCAAAAGGTAATTTTGACAGTACTAGGATATTAGCTCTGGTTTATAATTAAATAGCACAATAAATATCTCACTACTTTTTAAAGAACTCATTTTGGTAAACTCAGTGTCACCCAGGTAAGACTCTCAGTTTGCAGATTACATGGAAGGTCATAGTCACCAGAGTGCTTGCTAATAGAGAAACACATAACAAATTATGTAAATTATCATTTCTCCAAATTATGCACAAATTTTACAATGAGAGAATTACTTTTTTTTTTTTTTGAGAGGTTTTCGCTATAGGGCGCGTGCGCTCACCAGACAGACAGAGACATAGAGACAGAAAGCGAGAAATCACCCCCCAGGGGGGATGGTCATGCCGCAATCCCTTCTCCTCCATTCTCCTCTCGGGATCTTGGGCACACACGCACACACGCCCGGCGTGAGATTTAAGCCACCGGGTCCAGGACACGAACCGCGGTCGACTACGTGGGAGTCCAGTGACATAGCCATTACGCTAACTGCTGGTTCCCGAGAATTACTTTTTTTAGGTCTAGTTTTTACATTGTGCAAAGCTATGCTTTTTATCATTTTGGAAAAATGAAAAACAACCTGGGAAAAATAATGAAGAACTGACCCAGAGTCTCCTCTTGTAAGAAGTCTTCATCCAGGTTTCTGAGCATGTCTAACCCTCTCTTAATCTTTGACAGCCTTTTCTCTTCTCGCTCTTTCTCATGCTGGCACGTACACTCTATTGCGAAAAAGAATACCTTACCTGTCAAATACCTAGCCTACCAAACCCTGTCCCCTGTTCGCCATTGCTGAAATCCACCCGAACCGCATTCCTCTAGAATGTCTTTGGGCTTCCTAAACCCTGGCAAAATCATTTCAAACTGGGGTTTATCATTCATGTCTTAATTGTGGCAGGCCCTCTTCAAAGCGTGTCTATGGGCACCTATCTGCAGTAGAGCCCATCTCGGTTTCCATGGTTACTTTGAAGAAATGTAAAGAGTTGGCCCCGTAGCCTAATGATTAAGTGAGCCAGATTCCCTATGTCCAGCTACAATTTGAATTCTGGCGCCAGAAGCTTGAAAAACACACCGGGCACATGTGTGTACATGTGTGTACATGTCTCCAGAATCTTGACAGGTTAGAGAAATGGAGATGAAGGGATTGTGATGTGACCTCAATTATTGAGAGACGCTTTTTCCCTCTGCCTCTCTCTGGCAAGGACATGCACCCTCTAACATTTTAATAAACATTTTGCAATTTCATCTCCATTGTGTGCTTACTAATGGCTACTCTCCTACTATGTTCCCATCATGGAGGTGAATTTATCAAACCTTTTTTCTAATTTGTCAAATTTTATAATGAACACTTTTTTTTTTAGAAGGGGTTTTGTCTTTTTTTTTTTTTTTTTGCTATAGAGTACGTGCACTCACCAGAAAGTAATCACCCCCCAGGGGAGATGGCCACGCCATGATCTCTCTCCTCCATTCTCCTCTCAGGATCTTAGGCATGCACTCACATGCGCCCAGTGAGAGTTTAAGCCACCAGGTCCGGGACTTAAACCGTGGTCGACTACATGGGAGTCCAGTGATGTAGCCATTATACCAGCTGCTGGTCCCTAATGAGCACTTTTTAAGAGACTGATTTTTCCTTATGAACATCATGGTATACTTTGGACATAATAGAATCTCTTATCCCTTTTAAAGATCAGAGTGACTAAAAGTAGTATCTCAGTCCAAATAAATCAAAGGCAACAATTACATTTTACACTGCAGAGTATGCACCCACATATGGTTGGTTTCCCATCTCCAAAATACACCCCTCCTGGGCCAGCTTCTTTAGTGCAGTGGTATTGCATGGCTCAAGGGCAGCCTGATCCATATGGTGACCCAGGGTTGAATTCCCAGCCTGGTCAACCTCAAGTGTATCAGTGTACAAGTGCCCAAGATCTAATGGCCCAGAGGACTGGGAAAAGGGGACCAACAGCACAACCATACCTGTGGAGGGTGCTCCTCTTCCTCTCTCTCTCTCTCTCTCTCTTCCATGCATGCACATACACACTATTATGGATGAAGAAAAAACTTTTTTTTTAGGTTTTTTCCAAAAGAGAGGGAAAGTGAAAAATCACCCTTAGGGGGAATGGCCACGCCACAATCTCTTCTCCTTTATTTTGGGCACACATGCACATGCGCCTGGCATGATTTTCAAGCTGCCTGGTCCAGGACTCAAAACATATTCAGTAGTGTGGGAATCTAGCACCTTAACTGTTATGCCATCTGCTGGTCCTGAAAAAATTTTGTAATTCACCGATGGCAGAAATGGAAAGATCTGAGGATGTGATAGGAGGGATGATAAATGCAGATACCAGAAGTCTATAAAGGAGGGGAGTGGATAGTAGAGGATGGATGGGAGGAACAGAAGGAAGAAACACTTAACAGACACAAAAATGTAAAGTCTTATATTGAAAATTATATATATGGGGGGCCAGTAGGTGGCATGGTGGTTAAGGGGCTGGTCTCCCACATGGCCAACCCC